AATCTAAGTTATATGTTTCACATACTAATTTTATTGAATTATTTTCCGGTTTTTCACTGATAATAACATCCTTCATAGCTTGTAGTATATTAAGATCGTTTTCTTTAAATCTGTCTTGTATTTCTTTTATTACAATATCTAAAACAATGTAATAGATGTTAATTTTATACATATCTTGAACACTTGTTATGTCTGTGGAATTAACTTGACCTCCTCCCAATTTTAGTGGAATAGTTCTTTTTCTGGGAAGTTTTGGAGAGCTAATATTGTTTTTTTTTGTTATTTCCATAGCTTTGTTCCAAGTTTTATCGAATTCTGTAACTGATCTATGCTCACTTAAAATAGCTACTGTTTGAAGTGTCATTGTATTTATATTTGCATAATTAATATTAGGGGATTGCAAATACTTTGATAAGATATTAGTTTCTCGCATCACGTCATTTAATAAAACTATGCAGAACACAAATTCAAAGTTTGATATAGAAAAAAGCAACGAAGAAGCATCAGATCCATTTATTGAATCTTGTTCTGATATGTCTTCTAGAGTTTTGAGAATGACTGTAAAATTGGATACAACTGAGTCTAATGCATCTATCCTACAACTCCATCTCGTGTCACTCAAACTTTTTAAAGTTTTTGGTCCAATTTTATCGCCCATTTTAGTCCGTATTTGCTCAAATATTTGATATCTTTTAGAAGAGGCACCAATAAAGCTATGCAAAGTCTTTAATGTCCCAAATGTATTTCTCACATATGAAACTTGTTTAGCCAAATCAACCAAACAAAGATTTAGAATGTGTGCATGGCAATGAACATAAAATGCTAATGGATTTTCAGTTCGTATTTTGGCTTGAACACCATTATAAGACCCTCTCATAGAAGCTGCACCGTCATTACATTGACCTCTTAAATCTTCAATTCTAAGATTATAACTATTGAGCACTACTTTTATTAAATTAGTCAAACACTCACCATCAGTTCTGGCTGTTCTATAAAATCCTATGAAAACTTCATGGGGGTTTAAATTACCATCAACATAACGTATGATGAATGATACTTGTTCGTGCCTATCGAGATCCTGTGTTTCATCAATTAATATACTATAAATACCAGCCAATTGTATGTCCTTGATTATGCTTTTTTTTACAAACGCAGCCATTAAACTAATAAATTCATTAGTATGTGTACCAGTCACATATCTGAAAGATTTCTCTTTTTGTAAAAAGTAACGATCCAAGATATTATTATCTTTTGCTCGTAACTTCATCAGTTCTAAAAAATTTCCCATGTTTTCAGAATCTTCATTTTCTCTATGCCCTCGAATTGGGATACCTTGGTAAGCACAGTATAGAAGAGTTTCCAATAAACATTTTATGTATTCTCTATTTTCTTTTACTACTTTTTTGTGATTACTATCAATTTTAGATATGACATTTCCATGTTTAATAGCTGATTTTAAGCTAGCATATTTTGTCAAAGATTCCTTATGGCCAAAACTTTTGGAATGATTAGTAGAATATTCATTCATTTTTTTCCAAGATTTAAAACCATTGGTTATAAATGCTTGATC